TCCCATTTAACGAAATAAATAAACTTTTCAACGACAAAAATCATTATTACAAATTTGTCGGAAAATGAAATAAAATCTATACATCGCTCATTTTAAAATAAATACGTTATCTATTTCTGTCAAATTAGTTTTCCGCACGTTAATTCTGAAACCCCTCAATATAGCAGATATAAATTAATAATTTTGAAAAAAAGTTTTTTATTTTCAAACTCTATTCCATACAAAATAAAGTACTTCATTTGCGCATTCTAGTTGATATTTTATCCTTTGTATGTTTGCAAATAAATTTATTATCAGTGAATCTTAGGCGATATAAAAAAAATTTCTTAGTTTTCATATCCCGGCCGCAAAAACATTGTTCCTGACCCACTTGGATCACGTTCCTGACCTTAATTTTCTGACCCAAAAAAAAAATATAAATTAGCCAATCAGAATAAAGAATTACTGTAATTCTGATAGTATAGTTATATCGAACTTACATCAACATCCCCAGTCTATAAATTAAAGTTTACATCGAACTTATATTAACATCCCAGTCCCGTAGAAAGTGCTAATGAAATTATTAGATTTCTTCTAAAAATAAATAAAATTCGTACATGTATTCAAAGTAACTAAATATTAATTACGTTGATAAAGAAATTTCAAGCTGAAAATATCGAAACATAAAGTACGTGTATGCTTTAACTTTTTATTTATTTCAAAATATAATTTTGACTTGCATTTCTTTACTAATTCGGGTTTTGGTATAATTGTTTTTTATAATATATAGTTTTAATTTTTGCAATTCCTGAATAGAATAAATTCATACTTAGAAAAGAAAATCGTATTTTCATATCGAATATATCTTAGTAATAAAAAATAGTGTTGCAATTAGAGTTTAATGTACCGACCTACATATTGTCAATTAATCATAATTTTTATAATCGCTGAAATTCTAAATTATTTATATAAAGAATCTCTATTTTTCTCATGGCAAATTTACATCTTCTTGTCATTAATTGGGTACAATTATTTTTTAATTTTTATTAATTGATCGTATTGGAGCTATATAGAAATAAATTTAATAGCACTAGAGTAAGCAAAAGATCATTAATTAATTATGTGCGAATAAGTAAAGTGCAACTTTATATCAGCTCTTTATTATAACTATAATATAACCATAATTAATATATTATGTTTGTTTATCTAATTCTTCTTTTTCTCGCTTTGCTTTATATTTACGTCTACCAATCCAACTATAAATTAGCCTATCGTTTACTACAGGATCATCAGCTAAATGAATATCTTTGCTAATGCAGAAATTGGTAAATGCACGTGGTTTCCAAGTTATGCCTTGCTCAAGAAATATTGCCTCTAATGTTTCTTGAGTATCATCTACATGCTTACGTTTTTGAGGCAAATTCACCGAATTGATGTTTTCTACATTCTTATTAATAAATTATTATTAGTTAAAAGATACAATTTATATATCTAAATATTAATATTTTCATACCTTTTGTGTACCACGTTTTAAATTACGAATTCTTGTAGTATTTCTACGTTGAATAGAATGTGGAAGTGTTGTTTGAATAGTTTGAGAATTTGAAGTATTTGAATGTATATATTTTTCTTGAAGCGGTAGAATTTCTTTCCGTGTTTGCTGTTCATTTAAACTATTAAAATCCTCCTCATACTGTTCTAAATGCATTTCTAATGTTGGATAAGCTTCAGAAAGCAATGTAGAATCGATTATTGGTGTTGATGTTGAATATGTTTCAGAGAGTAATGCAGTATTAACTATTGGTGCTGATATTGTTGAAAGCTCACTTGTAGAATTAACTTTCTTTATAATTTAAAATTTTATTAATTAGCAGTCATAGGACATGTCCTTTTACAGGGGTTCCAAATGTTGTTACTTATAAATTTTTTTTTTTTTTTATTTTATTATTTTTTTTTTTTTATATATATTGGCAGCCTTGCCGGTATCTTTATTAGATCAAAGCATATATATATACATATATTTAAACTATCTAAAT